CTCCCTTGGGACAGAAGGAAGGCCGAGGAGGGTGACCCGCAAGTGGCCATCTGGGCCACATTCCTTCAACTCAATGTGTTCCACAAAGCCAAAATTAAGCATTCAGTCTAATTTAGGTGAAGTAAGGCGTTCCAGAAATCATGTAATTACACCTTCTTCGTTTTTCTTATAAGCCAGATCAACATGCCGAAGCCTGGTTTACCTTTCATCTCAAGGCTCAGTCCGTTCGGGAATTGAACCACAGACCTGGACTGGCACAAAATATGTCTCCGTAATGTGATGTAATGTAATGAAATTTAATAATTCTTATATTAGATAAGTACTTGTGATATTCTAAAACGTTTTTACCAGCACAAATGTATCTAGTCTACGAGACACTTCTACAAGCGATTCACAGCTCAGCTCTTTCCGCAATAACGAAAGCTGATTGTTGACGGCAGTAATGTAACACAACAATGCCGAGTAAACAGATGACGCAACAATTAGTTTTTTAGGTAACATAACAATGCACGCAGGAGTTCATATAAAAGCTGAACATTGTTTTCGGTCCATATTTACACATTGTTGATATGGATCTTACACAACTTCGTTACGATTTTTTGTCGAATGACCCTTCCGTATAGTCTTCTTTACATCAAAAGAAGAAAAGCCTAATTCTCTTACACGATTTCACAAATGCATAAGAAAACATTGAATGTGATAATCAATCATAATTATAAATAGGAATCCCTTACCTCAAACTTTGTTCAGTTGTAAGAGAATACGATGTTCACCCGCAATCGATAGCAAAATGGATACAGTGGAGGGTAGTATCACAGATTTCTTAACAATTCTTATATAAGATAAATACTTGTGATATTCTAAAACGTTTTAACAGCACAAATGTGTGTAGTCTATAAGGAACGTCTGCTACAAGCGATTCACAGCTCAGCTCTTTCCGCAATAACGAAAGCGGATTGTTGACGGCAGTAATTAAACACAACAATGCCGAGTAAACAGATGACGCAACAATTAGATTCTTAGGTAACGGGGTGGATTGCAATACGGTTTATTCAGGCAATTATACAGCCTGCATAATAAATGAGAAATGAGCCTTAAGGCATGCTCAGCCAATATTGTTGCAGGTGTGTGTTAGGAATTGGAATCCATTTCTTGCATTGTTATGCACGCAGGAGCTCATATAAAAGCACACTTTATAGTGTCGATAGCACGAGGCCCCGACGTGGCGAAAGTGCGTTCCCTTACTGAGATCTGCGGTCTGCGGGTCAAGGTAGAGGAAAAGTGTCCTGAGTTCGATTTCCTTCAAGGGCGGTTCCTTTCGCTCCGAAACTAAGCGAGACAGAAGAAGGGCGCCAGGATCAGAGTTTTTTGCTTCGAAGAGGAGATTACGGAAAGGAAGGCCTCGACACTGAGTTTGAGTCCCTACAGGATGGTTTCTGTTCACTGGAACGCAACCGCGATAAAAGAATGACGTCAATGAAACGTTTTTTAGTTTCGGAGAGGAAATTTCGGGGTCTAAGGTCACAGACGGATACACAGTTCTCGGTTCGAGTCTCTGTTAGGTTGTTAGTTTCTGGGGTAATTTTATTGGGGGTATTAACCGACGCACGTTTAATGATGAGGCCTATAAGCTACCAGATGCTTCCAAAATAATATGCTGCTTTTGTGTGGTTATAGTAGACCTTGTATCTTTATTTATTCATAGTTTATTTAACGACGCATTTTCATAGCTCAGAGTAGCACAGGAGCATTAAATCCATTGATAAATCCTTGTACGTAAATAACTTTATTGTTTGGAAACACAAAACTAGCTTCATTTTGTATTACTGTTGACTAACACGGATGCTACCAGATGTCTCAAGAGTAAACTGCTGTACAATTTGTAATGCTACCCAAATATCCATGACAGCAGCACTGTGGTATTTCCTGGTGGATTCCAATGAAGTCTGTGGTCCAGACGCTGGTAAGACTCTGAAAGACTTCAGAAACATCTGATACACAGGCTCATATATATCAGAAATCAAACAGAGCTCACAAAAAGCAAATGATGAAAGTACACAAATCTGTGCACCATAACTGTCACAGAAGTGTGAAACATCAATAAACTTATCTTGTTAGGTTGATTCGCGAAGAAGGATAGCTGTAGGCTTATTGGGTTGCGCAATGGCCCCGGATTTATCAAGTCCTTCACAGCCTTACAAGTGCCATTTGACTTGAGTGAAGTATGACGGTCAGACACCTCGATATAGATCGCCGAAAATTTTTGAAGTGTAGAAAATGAAGTTGTGACTTGTATATAAGTCAATGATGAAGTCTCCTTCAATCCCGACGCTGCCACCAGTTTATGTCATGTAGCCGAGGCCACCAATATTAATTTAGGTTGGTAAAGTGTCCAATTTGTTGTGGGATGAGGGCTCTGTCTGGACTAGAGTCAAAGGAGATCGTGAAGTTAGAAGTTCAGCGAAGAAGGAAGAGATGGTTTATTCAGAATGACGAAATACATTGAACTTCTTTATTACCCCGAGAGATGGATCAACGAGTAAGAACCCCCCGATGTTAGCCCCGCGACAACCCACAAGTCGGAGGATCACCCCTTGTCGGCTGTAATGACCAGTCTGAGGAGTGAGCACATGACTTAATGTTATCTTAAGGACCAAGGTCAAATGACTTCCTGTAGGGGATAAATGAGTGGAGTTATGTCACATTAACTTCCGCCTTCATTATCTTCTGCCTTCTTCCTTCCTTCTTGTTTTCATCCCCCGATGTAACTATTTGCAAACACTGCCACAATATTTATTAGAGAGATCATTATTGCCCCAGCGACGCGGAAGCCTTCCCTCACCCTTCGTTCACTAGTAAGGCCCACCTTCGGAAGCTACGCAACTATTTGGCAAATCTGAGGCCCACAACAAAACAGAAAATAAAATAAGAACAGGAAGGAAACACTATGCTAAGGCAGGACTGATTACATTTCTTAACATATAACAAAATGATGCGAGTCACATCTGAAATTAAATGTTGATTACATTAAACTAACATGTTGGTATCAGCTATTACATATAACAAAATGATGCGAGTCACATCTGAAATTAAATGTTGATTAAAAGTTACGCAAGTGAATCCATATTATGTTCAAACACTTGAAATGCATATATACTTAATAGCTCTTATATTACTGCTACTGTACTTACAAATTAATTGTATCAGAATGACCAAACGAATTTCTAAACAAATCTGGGCTGTTGCGCTGTGTAGTCTACACAGCGCAGTAACCCAGAAGTCAGTAATCCTCATACTCACTGCTGTGAAAACCTCAAATCTTACATTGGAGTCTACTTATTACAAGTATTTCTAACAAGTCATGGGGGTTTCCCTATTATAGGAAAGAACATGTGATTTGGAGACATACTTTGATCTCCAGGATCTAACCACATGAAAGCCATATTTGAAGACTGACATAATACACACACGTTCATGTAGTTTACAAAGAATACGGAATGTTTGGGCCTGTCAGCAAGACTCTTTTGCAAGGTTCTATGACATACAGACTATTTTAATTGTATGATCAGGTAAGCGAAATTAATGTCTCATTCTTGAATTTATATAAAGCTCAATTTAATACATGATATTAGCCATAGATTGTTCCTTCAGATGCATGCATGCCTATCCAACTGTTTTATGAAGCTGAACAGACAAGCACTATCAATATGTTTGGCATTACACGGTGTGCACAACACGAGATTTCCCTTCGTAAAAAGGATTTTGGTTGGTCGGTTCTCTGAGTTTGAACCCAGAAGCGGCAGCATCACTTTGGCTGAAGGCCTCTGAGACTTTGGGCGGTGGGGGGGGTGACTTCAGCTGAAGGAACATCCGTCCCCCTCTGTTGCCCTTGGGTGACCTGGCCTTTGTGTCACATACCTCAAGAATGATGGCAAGGATTCCGATGATCAGGAAGGCATGGTGAAGGAATCCTTGCAACTTCCCGAGCAATTTCCATACATCGCACAATTGGGCCACTTCAGCTCTTACTCCTAAAGAGGCAGCAGTGATCTCCCACCATGACCACTGCAATGTGACAGTAAATATTTTAATCCCTGTGTGTGTCCTCTCTCTTGTTGTTCACATCCTAAATACCAGGGTCTATTATCCTGACCTTGTTAGGAATTGTGGTTTCTGTTGAAATTAGGTCCTGGGTTCGATGGTGCTGAAGCATAAGCATCATAATTGACAGAACATCATACTGATGAGATTTACAGACTGTACTCCACAATTTACTGCATGCACAGAATTAAACGACACTTACTGTCTGCTGCCAGCTTCCTGATCCTGTTTATCGGCATACAAGTGATCCTCGTCTCTTCTATTTCCGTAGGATTTACCTGAGGACAGACACAAAATGAGTTATTTTATAGTCCAAGAATTCTCTGCAACTTCATGAAGTTAATATTTCTTATTGAACTTTTGTCCCAGTCACACACAAAACGCAGGTGCCTTGGCTGTTTGTGTTTGCACTGCAATTGATTTTCGTTTGTAACAGAAGATATTAAGAAGACTTCATTTATATGAACAGAAATTAAGGCTGTGTCAGATAACGATTTACTTTTATAATTAGCTTGTTAGGAGACGTTTCAAAGTTTTAATTACAGGATACAAGTCGGTTAATGATTAATCCTGAGAAATTAAGCTGTTCACTCAACAGAAACTTTCCGCTAGACGAAAAATGAAAGACTGAAAACAATTAATAATGTCTGAATATGACAAGTGACCCGGTCGTAAGTCCGTATCAGCTGTTAGGTTAGCCGGAATTCAAGTAAGCATACTTTGGCGACGATTGGCTGTGATCTAACGCCTCCACTTTGTTGAGAAATGTTGCAGCGTCCGGTATGTTTCTCGGTTTCGCAACGACCCACCCTTCTTGCTCCTGATTTGCCGTTCTTGATGCACTGACTGGCCTGCTTTTGTTTGGACTTGCTGTACAAGTCGTCGACCCAGAGACAGGCATCCTTATTTCGGTAGACCTCGGTGTCCACGCTCACTTTAACACCTTGTGTGTGCTGCTGGGTTCACTCGCCGCCTTCTTCGGATGGCTACTTGGAAGTTCGTCCTTTCGAGGAGTTGCCCAGCTTGGTTGTAGCCTTCTTCTTTAATAACATGCTGTCAGATGCGTACTACTAAAATGTGTGGGCCAAAAGTTCCTTTTCTACAGTACTGTAATTAATTTCCGCTTTATTTAAGATCCTACTCGCGTAAGCGACTGGTCTGTCTTGGAATAGCTTACCCTGACTGAGTATGGCACCAATTGCGTACCCACTAGCGTCAGTCGTCAATATAAAAGGTTGTGTGAAGTCGGGATACTGTAATACTGGAACTTGTGTTAGTTTCTGCTTTAATAACTCGAAACTAACCTGTTCTGCATCTGTCCATTTCCATTCTGTATCCGTTTTTAACAGTCCTATTAGAGGTCTGGCTATCGCACTAAATTTATCTATGAACCTGCCAGGCCTAAAAATGACTTAATATCCTGGGGTGATTTTGGTAAAGGAAAATCTGTCACTGCCTGAATTTTCTTTTGATCAGGCTTGACTCCTTGTTCTGTTACATGTCCTAAATAAGTTAATTCTAACTTTAAAAATTCACATTTATCGGGTTCAATTTTGATGTTATATTTTCTTAACTGGCAAAATACTTGTCGCAATTGTCTATGATGATCTTTTAATGTCTCTCCCATTACTAAAGTGTCGTATTAGACAACAATATTTACCATGCTCACATCGAACAATGCTATCAGCATAAATAACATTTCCTCCTATCATCTGTTTTGGACAATGTCTTATCCCTTGTTTGTCTGTCGAGAATTGAACGACGGTTTCACTTAATGGAGGTACTTTTATGAAGTCCTGTTTCCAAGGAATTTTGATTTCACTGTC